AAGTTCCGACAGGAAATATAAATTGCTGAGTAGTGAAATACACATCCGACTTCATCTCATTCTTTGATGTAAAGCCAATGATTATTTCTGTGGGCAGAAACCAGTCAGGCCATAGAGAGGTCACGGGACTTCTCAGTAGCTGACCTGTCCAAGTGTGTATGGAAGCTAGCTTCACGCTGAGTTCCGCAGCCCTAAGGGAAACTGTCAGTGACCCCTATGGTGGGTCTCGGTGTCTACATCATGAACTATTGTTTAATCTTCCCTGCGAGGTAACTGGGATTCAGAGGTGAAAAGCCTGTTCATGGCCAGGGTGGACAGGGGTGAGAACCGGGTTGGAGACCGATCCTCCTCCTCCCAGGCCAGCCCTTCCTGAACAGGCCCCTTCGCCAGGAGTGTCCTCCCTGAAGAAGGACCTTTCGCCTAGCAGGTTTTTAACCATAGCCAGCTCAGTCGGCAGGGCAGACTTAACCAGCCTGCCAGGAAGTCGGAGGGGTTCCACATGTAGGGAGATCAACAAAAAGCAGAGCTGTGGTCACACCGAGGAGGTGGGCCCGGAGTCTGCGCCGAGCGGGCTGACAAGCCTGCCGTCTGCAGTCCCCCGTCTCTCCCACAGCCCTTTCCAGACCCAGCCCCTCCCTAAGGTTTCTTTCCTGTGCTCCCGCCGCGTGACACTGCGTCGTGGCAGCTCCCTGCTGCCGCTGAGGTCCTCTCGGGCAGGTGCTGGGTGAGGAACCAGCTCTCGTACACGCGTGAACAGGTGTGCTGTCAACATGTGAACAGGTGTGCTGTTAGGAAGCGCCGTGCTCCTTCTGGGCCTGGCTGGATCTGCCCAAAGATTGGAGCAGACGTGAGCCACACTGCTGTTTTCTCGCGGAATATTTTACTCTCAGGAGTTGATGCATCCACGAACACCCCTCCACGGGAAAGGGCCAGACGCCTGATTCCAACTCTCCAGGTTGCTGTGTCCCCTTGAGCAAGTCACTCAGAGCCTCGGTTTTCTCATCTACCCAGTGAGTCAGCGGTGCCGGCCAGCACGTGGCCTCGCGGGTGGGAAGCTGCCGCCCCGGAAGGTGTTGGCACGCAGAGGCCAGCAGAAGCCGGCTTCACAGTTCGGTCAGCCGTGTGGCCTGCACATGAGTCCTCTCCGAGACTTGCCCAGGCCGTCAGAGTCCAGTAACATCTCTGCAGTATGCGTGTCCCGGCCGCCTGCAGAGCCCTGCCGAGCGGTGCCATGTGCAGAGAGCATCTCTGCTGTTGGGTGTGGCACCGGCCGTACTCCGCAGGGTGAAATGGACTTTATACCAACTCTCGCCAAACTTGGCTGGTGACCTCGCGTTTTGTTTTTTCTATTCAGATTCTCATTCAACATATTGGATGACTTCTGGGGCCGTATGTGTAATAGATGTTCAGTTCCTCATTGTTGAGTTGACTCCTACGCAAATGTATAATGTAAGCCTTGCGTCTGTCAAGTATGTAATGTGGTGTGAGAGGTTCGCTAAGAAAACAGTTCTCACTGAAGTGAATTGCCACAGGGTAGTGCTAAGACTACAGTGGAATGTAATAACTTAATTGGTTGAGGTAAGAGACGCCTTTGTATTCCAGAAAAGTTAAGACTTTCCGAAGAGTGTGTGGGTATTCCTATGCCCGATTCTTCAGAAGTACATCAGCAAATAAGGCTTGCAGAAAGTTCCTCACACTCGGCTGCTTGGTGAACTGTGGACAGGGAATTTAGTCAAGGCATGTGGGCGGGAAGAATCTTTAATCTCATCATCAGTACAGCAGCCACAGATCAGGGAAACAATGTTTCTTCTTTTGTAGCAGATAAATCTTTCCCAGGAGTTCTCAGCAACATCTCAGTGAACCAGGACCACTGGGCGGGCCATAGAAGCCACCTCACAATCTCAGTATCAAGCTTCTCCCCCACTTTTTTTCTGCTCAAGTTAAAGAGAAAATGGGCTTTTAGCAGGAATTTATATGAATCGGTTTCTGGGATTTTTCCAAAATCAAATGATAGCCCAGTCTCCGTTAGCTTCCACTTTATGTCTGTGTTGCTGCTGTATGTGACAGTTGAACTTAAGAATGATGAACCCATTTCCTATAAAAAAGATTATGCTTGCTGTGCCATAAATGTATACATATAAACAAGAATCAAGAAGGTGCTTTCCAGAGCCCTACTTCCCATGGGGACTCTGAGGGGCAAGTGAGTTAACAAGGTACCTTTTCTTGCATAAGTGTCAAACACTGAGCGGTAAAACCACTGTATTCTTCTTGTTCATCCTCATGTGCACTGCCTGGGAAAGGTATGGCGAGAAGGGACTTACTTCCTTTAAATTGGTGCTATTATGGCAACTCTATATTATTGCATTTACAGTATTTGTTTTCTGTCATGGAAAAATATGTTAACAAGACTTCTATGATTGGCTTGGGAAATAAATCCTGAATCACAACCATCAAATTAAAAATAAAATTTTCATTTGGGGGCATTTTCTTTTGTTTATAAGTCAGAAAGAGTTCCTTTTATATGAAGTTAAATAAATTGACTAATACACTTTAGAAAGATTTTAAACAAGAAGGACTAATAGGACTCTAATCATGAACCTAAAATCCCTATTTTAGTTGGGTTTATCTGACTAATAAATACTATGTTAATTGATGACCTTAACTTAATAGTTACAACATGATTAGAAACTCTGATATCTTCAACTCACATCATGTACCATATGTCACTTTGAAGACAACCGGAGCTGGGTTGTTTGATGGAAAGTATAGACTGCAGGACCTGACCTCACTCCTGCAGACTGCCTGTCTTCCAAACATGAATGAGATGGCAGTTTGCCACAACTTTCTCATTGGTCCAAATGAGAATAGAATAGAATAGAATAGAATAGAATAGAATAGAATAGAATAGAATAGAATAGAATAGAATAGAATAGAATACTTCTATTCCCAAATCACTTCCCCTTCAATGTAGCCTACAACTTCACTGGCATAGGACATCAATTCCTGTTGGTTATCTGTTTGTCAGTGTTTGTACAGCTGTACCTGTGTTCATAGTCCTCTTGTGGATTTGCCCACTGATGGAGACTGTTTCAGATTTAGATTCAATCTCTGTCAGGTCAGGGATGTAATTTGTTTAACTTGATGTGTGATAAACATTTAACCTGTGTTATTTGATTATTACAGGATGTCTGAGACTATAGAGGATAGCTTCAAGTGATAAAATGTATCTAAAAGGTTCACAAATATTTTTTAAAATGTGTGATTGGATTGTGACCTCTGTTTATCCAAGGCATATATCTTATATAACTCCTGAGTAAATTATTTCCTTTCCATGTGGCAATAAGAAACTTTTATCATGTGGCTCAGAATCACTGAGCCTAGAAATACCAAGATGCAATGTTCCAAGATGGTCATTCCTGCTATATTTATGACTCAATAATATTCACCCAAAAGGTTCTCTGTGGTTCTAGCCTCAGGGTCATATGCAGCCAGGGACAAGGAAAAAGTTACCATTTAATGAGTTGGCTTGCATTTAGGCACTGTGCTGCACAAATACACAGACTAGCCTTTAATCTCTAGAGTTTCAATGTCCATTATGATTGGCTCAGCCACATGTGGCCAGTGACCATGTGAAGTGTGGTTAGCCCAAACTGAGATGTGCTATCAATGTGAAATAACATCCACATTGTTACACTTTTTAACAAAATGGAGAATGCAAAGGATGTCAGTAATTTTTATATTGAATGCATGTTGGAATGATAATATTTCGAGATATAGTGGGTTAAGAAAAAGAGATTAATTTTACCTAATTAATTTTCCTTTTTAAATGAGGATTCCAGACAACTTACAGTTACATGAGGGGCACATGCTTCTATTGGGCAGCAGGGCTCTGAGGAGCCCTCAGCAGAGGGGAGCTGGTGCTGGGTGCGGCTGAGGGGCTGAGGGCCACCGTGGGGAGCAGGATGGGGCCCCCCTCAGCTCCAAGGCTGAGCTGTCTCTCTGTTTTGGTTTCTTACCATCTCTCAGATTCTTTTGAGGCTAGTTAAATGGATATGATGTAACCTCACTGAATACAGATTTCTGAACTGAGTTTGTCCATCCCAGTACCCAAAGATAAGATGCCAACTGCCACTTTATTGCCACAATGGCTAATGATTCTTTAGACCTAGGTACAGGGCCTGTTCTAAGTGCTCTTCATGATCACCCATTTCATCCTCTCCCCAGCGAGGTGAAGCAGGTACTGTTCTTACCTCTGTTTGAACAGATGTGGGCTTGAGATTCTGAGACATTAAGTAACTGGCTCAAGGTCACACCTCTAGAGGTGACCCCAGCAGTAGGATTCCAGGACCTCGGCCCTTAACCATGATGCAGTACCGTCCTCTGAAACAGAAGCTCCTCTTTGTGCTTCTAACACATCAGTATGCATGCCTCTTCACAGCACCACAGTCTCCGTCTCTCCTCCACAACTTAGATGCCGTTCAGTGATTTGACAGCGAAGATTCAAAAGTGTTGACTGTCTCAGAAATTGGGGACCTAGTGAAAGGTCATGAAGGATCCAACTCCTTGTTTTTCCCCGAAAGCATACCTTAGTTCCGTCTGCTTTAAAATGCAGGTAGTTTAATTTCAATTAATATGAAGTATCTACTATGTGCCAAACACATAATCAAGTCCTGAGGACACAGAGATAAAGATGATAAATTCCCAAATTTGCAAACAGTTCTTGTCTGCGGGACCTAAAAGCACATTCCTGCAATACAGTGTTGAGGGTTATGTGTCTAGTGTTGTGGGAACGAAGGAGCATCCACACTTTTCGAGGTTCAGGGTAGAGGTGTAGTATTCAAGAAATCTAAGAGGAGGGGGTGCTGGAGCCGTCTTAACATACCTGCCACTTCTCCCTGGGGTTCGAGTTACAGCGCATGAAGGCCATTGCTAATAATGACAGCAAGCATCTGAGTGTCTCCGGTGGCTGAGAGCCCTGATTCCCTGCATTTGGTTTGCAGGCACCAGCAAGGTCAACCTGGTGAAGATCCCGTCCACAGCTTCCAGCCCGCGGGACACCGCGCTGGCCGCTGTCATCTGCAGCGCCTTGGCCACCGTCCTGCTGGCCCTTCTCATTCTCTGCATCATCTACTGTAAAAGACAGTTTATGGAGAAAAAACCCAGCTGTAAGTTCTGAGCTCTTTCTATTTCTTAGCAAAGTGCGTGTATCATCGTCGTCATTTGGGTGGTCCACAGGGGACGTCGGGTGGGAATCAAGGAGCTGTTGAAGGGACAGAGAGCACATGAGAAGAGGTCTCGCAGTCCTCTGCCCCAAAGAGGCACTGAGGGAGCAGATTGATGGGTGGCGCCACATTGTAAGGCCATTGAAAAGGCAGGGATGTCGCTGTGCCAATGGGCAAAAATAAAAATTGTTCTAAGTTCTGGCAACACGAGTACTCCATTTTGAGCTTTCTTGACAAATTATTTCATATGTGTGCCTTTGTGTAAGAAGAAACATTTTAAAATGTGAATAATAGCCTTCTTTCTCTTTAAAAAGAGCAACGGTAGGAGGCACTGGTCTGCATTGTGGTGTGAAGGGAATTCACCGACAATTCTCACCCTCCGCTAGGGTCGCTGAGAGCGCAGGACATCCAGTACAACGGCTCTGAGCTGTCCTGCCTGGACAGGCCCCCGCTCGGCACACCTGCTCCCAGAGCCTGCTGTCAGTGCCACCAGGACTTCGCCCAGACCTGCGGTGAGTCACCCGCTGAGGGACACTGACGCTGCCCAGAGCTGGTCGTTGGTCCCCCAGCGAGGTCTCTGCCTGGCTCCTCCTGCAAGCTAAACTTGTTCGAGTGATGCTGCACCGTGCTCTAATGCCCGTGCAGCCGTGTCCCTGCAACATCAGCAGGAAGGAATCTCATTAAGCTCCAGACGTCTGCAGCAAGGTTTTTGAGCCAATTTGCCTCGGTTGTTTCGAATCCCTTGATTTAAAACACTGTCAGCCGTTTGCAGAGGAGGAGTCTGCGTGTTTCCTGCCTCGTGGGCGCACACCCAGCGTCCACGTGCCCACTCCAGTCCTTGGGCTGCTGACGGAACGGGGGAGGGTGTTCTGACAGGTTTTCCACAAACCACACTTGCCTCCTAGGTTGCTGACAGAAACGAAAGTTTAGGGAAGTAATTCAAATGGGAATTGGTTTCTAATGTGGGCAACCATGGGCAAAGGTAGTACCACTTTCTTTGCCACTTGTTTATATTCTTTAACACAAGGTTTCCACCCTTATGCTCTTCACTCCCATTGCCACTACCATGACCTCATCTCCTCTTCAAAGTAAGATCTAGAAGCCTGCCCTAGCCTCCCCCTCTCCACCCTCTCCAGCTCTCCGCGCCCTGCAGCTCCTAACAGCACCTGTCTCATTCTCTAAGAGAAACGGTCCCAACGAGACTGGTGCATCCTCTCGGCACTGTTCGTTAATCCTGATCAGATTAACCAGGGTCACTTTGTGAAGTTGCAGGATTCAGCTTTGCGATCTAATATCTCGTGTGTGGGTTAGGGAGTTCTCAACATAATTTTTCTACTAGTCATTACTGTATTTTATTTTAGGAATAGGTTTAAGAATGAAATATAAGACTTTGTGGGGCGTGGGGATCTGTGTTTGCCTCTGCCGACACAGATGACAGGCTCAGACAGCTGGTGGCAGCCACGCAGGATGCTCAGAACGCCCAGCCTGTCTCCTAGATACTGTACCCTAGACAGCTGTGACGTGGCATCGAAGTGAGGGTAATTTCTTGAGAGATGAACTCACATTTTAAAAGTAATAAAATACAGCGTTGTGCAAACTGCCTCACCTGAACATCTCTCTGAAAAGAAAGATTAAATGTATAGATAGCCTGGCTTCATGTCCTCTGAACAGATGCCCAGGTTCAGTCTGGCTCTTTATCTGCTTTGCTTCCTCCTAAGGACAGGGCCTTTTTCCTTTTAACTTATTTTGACATATTTTCAGACTCACAAAAGTGTTGAAAGTTTAGGACAAAGAATTCCCACATACCCTTTACCCAGATTCCCCAAATTTTAACATGTTTCTCGTTTGACATTTACTTTATCATTTTTATCTCTCTAAGTATGTAGTGGTGGGGTGTGTGTATTTTGTATAAAATGAATACATACACATTTTTGCATACACACACACACACATTTTTTTTCACTTGCCATTTAAAAGTCAGTTGCAGATATGATGTCCCTTTACCCCTTAATACTTTGTGGTTTGTTTTCTAAACAACAAACATTCTCTTACATAACAGCATGATTACTGCCCTGGCCAGTTTGGCTCAGCGGTAATATTTTTGGTGAGCATAGGCCAGTAATTTTGCAGAATGACCCTCAGTTCGGGTTTTCCGATGACTAGAGTCAGAACTGTCACACAGGTGATGCTGCATCCTGCTCAGTGCGTATCAGAGGTACATCTGCCCCATTCCTGATCAGATTAACCAGGGTCACTTTGTTAAGGTGGTGTCTGTAAGCTTTCTCTGCTGAAAATTATTGTTCTCTTTGTAATTAATAAAACTTCATAGGAGATTACTTGATATTATGTAAATATCCTATTGCTTCTGAACTTCTGCTCAGTAGTTTAGTATTCGCTGATGATTCTTACCTGCATCCGTTATTAGGACAATGATTAGCAGTTGTTGGTTTCCTACTTCTGTCATTCTTTCTGCGTTTATTGGTTGGCTTCCTATGGTCAGACACTTCCCCTTCTTCCCATGTATTTACTTTAATTAGTGTGGACTCAGGGCCCCATTCAGTGGGTTATGGTCCTTTGCTATCATGTTTTGGTGCTCAGAGTTTCCTAGATCTGGCAGGTGGATGTCCCTTCACGCTGTTTCATGTGCCATTTTCACTTATTCTTTTAGCACTCTCCTACTTTCTTGCACAAAAAGAAGTTTCAGGCTCTCTTATACTTTCTCTTTTGAGCCCCAGAATCAGCCATTTCTAGGAGGAATTGGCAGTGCCTTTTGCTTTTAAATACTTTTGAGAAATTCCACAGTGAGCATGACACACACCTGTTGAGTTAATTTGGTAGTGAATCCAAGTGAGTTCCCATGGTCATAGTGGGTTCTATTCAGACAGCACAAGGTGTGGCCTGTTTGGAGAGATTCAGATGAAAGTGTGCTGGGTGTCCATCCTGCTTAACACTGGTTTGCAATTGCACCTCAATACATAACATTTATTTTTCAAAAGGAAACTATTAGTTTCATATAATTTTTTTGTTTATAAAAGTAGAGATAATCCTCATATTAACTTTGAATATACACAAATGTATATGTACATGTAAATATATAATTACTTCAAGTCTTTTTTCTCTATATGTGTGTCTTTGTATTTGCCTGTATGCTTTAGTATGTTTGTGGTTTTATAAAATTAGAATTATATGTGTATGTATATATACAGAGAAAAGTCTAGAAGGCTGTTCACCAAATATTGACAGTGTTTATTTCTCATTTATAGGGCTAGGGAAGATTTATTTTTAAATTTATCTAATCTCTCTCTTTATTTCTAAATTTTTCTTCAGTAAATTTAAGTATACAGTTCAGTGGATGAAATCCATTCACATTATGTGCAGCCATCACCACCATTCATTTCCAGAACTTTCCATCTTCCCAAATTGAACTCTGTTCCCATTAAACACAAACTCCCCATCCTCCTCCCCCTCCCCCAGCCCCTGGCTGCCAACATTCTACTTTCTGTCTCTATGGATTTTACTACTCTACGTATATCATATAAGTGCTTCATCATTTTTTTAAGAGAAAAAAGAGAAAAAAAATTAAGCCTCATGTTCCCTTTCCCAAAAGTCACCCAAAGGGAATAGCTAAAGTCTCAAGAACGGTGTTGAACTGCCATTAAAGGGAGCATCCCTAGGAAAGCATGTGCCTCACCCTGTGCTGGCTCCCCTAGGGCCCGTGCACCTGATCCCGTCCTTGTGCTGTGACGACACCTGCAGCCTCGACCAGGCGACTCTGGGCTGCAGGGTGCATTCCAAGGCCACACTTCAGGAAAGGTAACTGGGTATTTTTTAAGCAATATAATTTCATAATCCTTTGTACAAATACGCCTTATACTCATTTACCAATATGCATACAAAACACTTGAAAATGTCTCATGAGGGCATCACTTTTTTAATATCATTAATGACATTCTGGTCATTGGAGGGGGCATGTGTTTGGCAAGAATTAAATAAGTCTCAGGGTTACTAGTATCCAATGCAACATTTTTTATGCCTTATACCCAATTAATTTTATTTTTGTCTTATATTCATGATTTGTGACACTGCTGTCATCTGCAAGTAATTTTTAACAAGGCATGTACTCAGAATTTTAGAACAGTCTAAACTCAGTTAAGACCCAGGAAACTGCATGTTTTAGACATTGTATTAAGTATAACTATATTGATTAAAAGTAGGTATATTAATTAAGTTTAAAGTAAATAGAGGAATTAAACCTGTCGTATTAAAACAAGTTTGTAACAACTAGAATTCTGACTTAATAAATTGCCGTTTCATCTACAAAACATAAAGTGGAGCTGGAATGTTGCTTTGTGGCTCTTCTCCCTGAAGAACCTGTCTCTCGAACATGTGCTCAGAAACGCAGGTGCGGCGGGCGAGACCGCGCCGGCCTTCTTCGGGTCCCGTTCTCGGTCCATGTGTGGCGAGTTTTCGGACGCCTGGCCTCTGATGCAAAGTCCCATTTGCGGTGACGACGTCTCCTTTCGCGACTCTTACCCCGAGCTCGCTGGCGAAGACACTCGCGCTCTCCGTCCAGAGGAGTCCCTGGGCTCAGACAGTGGTCAGGATTTGGCTGGTGGCTCTGCTGCAGTTCTGGCTCCTTCTGCAAACTTCGCGGAAACCCCCGGCTCGTCCAGACACAGCTCCCCGACAGGCCGGAGCCGGGGCGCCCAGCTAGGTCCCCCGCGGGGGCCCGTCGGCCTCCCCACCCGGGCGTCCCTGCAGGTAAGGCGGTGCCCGACTTCGGTCGGCGGGGCAGGGACCTGCGGGAGCCCGTGGGGCGAGGACTTGTTCCCCCACCGCAGCGTGCAGGGGGCCGGATGAGGTTTCCATCCTTCAAAACTTCTCTGTGTTATGGAAGAATCTATGTTAAATTAAATTCCAAGTGTGTTTTTTAAACTAACAGCTAATGTGTAAGGCCATAAAGGGCAGCTGCATCTTTAAAATTTTTCTTTATAAAGCCCACGGTCTGAACCGCACACGTGGGAGCTGGGGCGCGCCCCGCACGGCAGACAGTCCCCGGCAGCCCCCTCTCCGGAGGCGAGCTGCCGAGACAGCCTGTTCCAGGGCAGCAGCAGCAGGGTCGCACCAATGAGGAAGCACCAACCAGCTCCGCCGGTCCTGCGGCTGGGGACCTGTTCGCCCACCCGGACCGGGAACCCTCCGCGACGTCAGGAGGTGCCGCGTACTCTGTGCTTTGTCGATTGTGTACAATGAAGTAAGCGAGAGAAAAGAAACCACCGTGAAGAAATCACGAGGAGAAAATGTACTTACAGTACTGTACATAGGTGTGTGCTGAAAAGCCCACATATAAGTGAGCCGGCCGAGTTCAGCGCCGCGGGGTCCGGGGGCCAGTGCCGCTGGCTCCATCCTGACCCGAGAGCAGTGAGCACGGGGCGTCCGGCCAGGCCTCCCCCGTTGCCCCGGCGACGCGCGCCCGGGACTGGGAAGCCCGGCTCCGCGGGTTCGGTTCGGTTCCGGAGCGCTGGCCCTCGAGCCAGGCTCGTCCTCCCTCTCCCGGTCTCCCAGCTCGCTCCACGTTGGCCGGCTGATCAGTTTGTTCGGAAATTGGTTGTAGGTTGTGATCTGGGACTAAATGCCACCCAAGAACCTTCTAGATAAGGGGTTCCGCCCGGTTGCGGTAGGGGCAGCTGCGGGCAGGAGGGTCTTTCTGGCGCCCGCGCCCACCTGCTTCTCCTTCGCGGAGGCTGACTCAGGGTTTGTCAGTGTTTCCCAGCGGAGGCACGTGCGTGGTTGGTGCACCCTCCCGGCGGGACTGCGCCAGCCCGGGGTAGGAAGGCCCGCCGGGCGCAGGCGCCCAGCCCCGACCCGCAGCGGGTCTCTCCCGCGTGTCCGCGGGTCTGCCCTGCCCTGCCCGCCGCCCGTGCGAGGCAGCGCTCGGAGACCCGCCGCGTGGGCTGAGTGTGCAGTCCGCCGACGCCGCGCAGCTCAGCAACGCTTGAGATGTGCTCCTTTTACGAAGAGTACAGAGGTTATATATTGATCTAAATCTGCAGCACTTCTTTCTTAATTGTCACTCGAGGATATTTTTCTATTTATCTTCAGAGAGAGTGGGAAGGAGGGGGAGAGAGAGAAGTATGGACATGAGAGAGACACAACTGGTTGCCTCCCACATGACTCCACCAGGGCCCGGAGGAACCACAGTGGAGGTAGTGTCCTTGGCGGGAATCGAACCCCAGACTCTTTGGTCCACAGGCCCACCCTCTACTGCTGAGCCAAACTGGCCAGGGCACTTTTTTTTTTTTAAACTACAAAAAATTTCTATAGAGAATTTATAGGAAATTCTATACAAAAAACATTTGTTAGCTTCAGGGGAGAAAAACGTTTTCTCAAAAGAAGAAAATGAAGGAGAGAAGTAAAGGGAGAGAAAACAAACAAATTAGACAATTTAAAAAATGGTGATTTTAAACATAAAATAAAATTTAAAAAAGAAAAAATCAACAAAATGCATACCTCTGTAGCTAGGAAAGATTGTTTACTGACCTTGTTTTTTTGAGCCATCCCATAATTTTTATAACTTTCATGATAATAATAATAAGAAAAGACTTAGGAGTTAGCCTGACTGAGTGTAGGTCTCGAGAATGGCTTGTGGCCCACAAACCTTGGGGCCGAGAACTCCCAAGGGGCCCTGACAGCAGGTCAGACAGCAGGACACAGGATAGAGGGGCCCCTCCCCCCACAACCAGTCTCAACTCCCCGTCAGATGCCTTGCCAGGTCCTCCGCATGTAAGTCTTAGAACTTTTAAACTCTAATGAATTCCATTTTCATTAAAAGATGTTGACATTTCTTTTATATTGTCAGTTGGCATTGATATCAAACTTGCTCGTATTATCTTCACAAATATCTGTTACATCTTTCCATGCATCGTCGCCAGGGGCAAGTCTGAGTACTGACCGCAGTTTCTCAGAGTGTTGTCAGTAAATACAATTACCATTCATCTTAACTTTATAGCTCGGCCCCAATTTTGTGATGTAAATACTAAGGAATGAAACATCTTGATACCAAGTCATAAAAAAGCCAACTCATTCTCTACGTTTTTCTGTTTATGTTGTTGGTGAAGTGGACAAAGGGTTAATAAGCACTATTATCACAGTTACATGAATGTAAAATGTTAGAAACGTAGTTTAGTATGTAAGAGTGTGTATGATGACCTTTTCAAAGAGCGTTCTCAAGGTGACTATGATTTGCATAAAGTTATTTTCAACAAAAATTATTATGGAAAGAACATTATAATTACACATAAAATGAATGAGAAAGTGTTACATTCAAGTTGCACAATGTAATTTATTAATGAAAGGTTTTTTATTATCTTTCCAAGTTGTATGATAATTATTATATAATAAGACAATCTGAATTCAGGAAAGGAATTGTTAAAATGTGAATCATTTCTGTTTTCACCTTAAACTTAAAAACAGCGGATACTATTTGAGCCCGCCCTAAGGGAGAACGTTCCGGACTCTGGAAGGCACTTCCCCCTCGGCACTCGCTGGATGGGGAAGTTGGGGAGTGAAGCTCAGTCGCCCCCAGAAAAGAGGAGATGACGGCGACTGCACGCACTCTTGGGAAACTGATCCTCTTCTTTGTATTTTTCTAAGTTTTTTTAATCCACACATGAGGATATTTTTTTCTATTGATTTTTCAGCGAGAGTCGGGGGAGGAGGGGAGAGAAACATCCATGTGAGAAAGAGACATCCATTGGCTGCCTCCACACACACCTTGACACAGGACCAGGGCGGGGACTGAACCTGCAGCCCAGGTACGTGCCCTTGACTGGGAATTGAACCCGTGACCATTTGGTCTTAGAGCCAGTGCTCTAACCACGGAGCCAAACCAGCCAGGGCTCGATCCTCTTCTTTATTTCAAGGGTCATTCAGCTATTTAACTTGACTTGTTCTGTTTTTCCCAATCCATCAGATTACAAAAAGCTAATTCTCCAGAGTGGAGAATACACTTCCTTCTTATTTAGACATTTGATTTCAGCAGCCTACCACTGTGAACCAAAGCAGAGGTCTCCGGCTCCTCGAGGTGTGGCCAGCGGCTCCCTGGCGCGGCTCCTTCCCCCAGGACAGCGCTGTGTTTCCTTCGGGAGATGTGTGACGGCAGCAACAACCATAACAGTGATTTGTTTTTTAAGTGAAAATTTATTTTATTTTAAATAAAACTGCAAATTCCTCCCCAAGCATTCACTTATATTTGCAATTTGTTAGTATCTTTTCACTCTTTCCCCCCAGATTTATTGATGTAATTGACACATGACATCGTATAAGTTAAAGATATACAACATGATTTGCTACACGTGTATATTGCAAAATGCAGAACAGCACTTGTGTCTTTACTTGGTGTAAAGTTCAGATTTCTAATGCATGATGCATTTCTTTCCAAACACTATATTTTTTGCACAGTAGTTTTCTTGTGGGTGGTTTAAGACCACCCAGAATCCAATGATGATAGTTATGGTTCAGGATAAAGCAAATAGGTGTCAGAGTCTTCTTAGGTCTGTGTGATTTAATTTCAATCCCTCCCCAGAAGGGAGCAGACCTAAGATAATTGGAACATCGTTTGCTACGATGTTTGGGAGAAGGAAGCAGCCTCTTTCCTTACAGGAAAAACATTTTTTTGGTGGTGTTTTTTAACCAGGATTTTAAGTGTCAGCATAAAACAATGGAAGGAATGGTTAAAAAAAAAAAAGATAGGAAATGGCCTGGGTTCTAGTTTTGTTTTTTGTTTTTTTCCTGGGTTCTAGTTTTAAATCTATTAAAATCTCGTCAGGCCAGTGTGGCTCAGTGGTTGAGTGCCGACCCGTGCACCTAGAGGTCACCGGTTCGATTCCCAGTGGGAGCACACTCCCGGGTTGCGGCCCGATCCCTGGTGAGGGGCATGCAGGAGGCGGCCAATCAGTGTTGTCTCTCATTGATGTTTCTGTCTCTCTCTCCCTCTCACTTCCTCTCTCTGTAAAATCAGTAAAGGAAAAAAAAATTAAAATACATAAATCTATTAAAATCTCTATTTCCTTATAGACAACATGAGCATAATTTGCTTCCCACAGTACTGTTAATGAGGCTCTTATTAGAACTATTGGTTGACATATTTGACTAAACTAACTCTGATTTTTGGGAGTACTTCAAAAGTTTCTATTTTTAGATAATCTCAGACCTAGGGGGAAATTTATTTTTCATAAACTTACCTGATACATCACCAATGCCAAACTGGTGGTACATAAGCTAATGAAGAGTCAGTGCACAAAATGGTTTCACTCACTCAGAGTAACGATCAGTTGGCCGATGCCTTGTCCCGTCGTGAGGTGAGGTCACTGTCCTTCTGTGACAAGGACAAATCTAAGGGCTCCACTTTGCAGAGGGCACTGGTCTTACGAAGAGTGTAAGTATTCCAGGGCGAGCATTCTAAGGGAAACCTCATTCCCAAATTATTTCTAAACTTTCTCAGTAGTTTAATGTAAGTTTGGAATTCAAAGGTGAAGAATGGCACTGTTCATTAATCATCTTCATTCTTTTAAATCAGGGTCAAAGGCTTCTAAGATCTTTACCTACAAATGCAGAGAAACAAGCTTTCAGTGTTAAATGAGGATGAAAGTCAGCAGCAGAATTGTTTGTTAATACAGTTTGTTTGCTATAGCTATAGGTTATACTATCGTCTTTTTAAAGTACTATTTGTAAATATTGAGTGACTATGAATTTTATGGAATCTTTCTTTTATTCTCAGAGTACATGGGTACCTGGATATTTGAACACCGTTACATGAGCTTCTTGTCTGCATGTGATTAAATGCATGTGTATTACTAGTAAACGTTTTATATATTAATTTTTTACAATAACAGTTTCCCAGCTTTAATTTGTAAGGTGTGGATTTTAAAGCTCTCCTTCTGTTGCTGTTTTAGGAAGCTTTTTAGGACTCCATTCTTTCTGGAAGAAGCGCCAGGATGGAGCCCAAGGGCACACGCTTGTCCGCTTACACTATGGACTGAGCAGTCTGGACCTCACATGGCTTCTGGGGGCAAAAGTCTGAACCGAACCAATGGCTTTTTAAGCCTTTCATCCAGTTGCTTCTGAGCCAGACTAGCTGTAAACAGAAACCTCAAGGAACAACAAGAAAAGACTGCAGATACTCACGAAGCTTTGCATCTTCCTAAACAGGACGCTTCTGTGCTGCCAGCGTGACTTCAAAGACCGCTGCACCGAGCGGCAGCGCTGAGGTCGCGGCTCACGGAACCGGAGACGCAGCCCCGCTGGTGCTCACGGCGAATGCGCCCACACGGCTCAGGACCAGACTACCCGTTTTCATCTGCATCTGTCCCAAAAATAATTTCACGTAGCCGGTTATCCTACTAAAGGTCAATGTTAGATTAGTTACCTTCGTTTTTATGTAGAATGGGTTCAAAATGAGTGCTTCTATTTGAGGAAGGTTTCGTCATCCGAGCAGCGGGCTTAGGAGGGTGGAACAGACTGACTACTCGTGGCTTTTTAGATCAAGTCGCTTGGCCTAAGTAGAAACGAGAGCAAGACAAGTCTCTTGAAGAACTGATGCTTCTAACCTCAGCCACCATCTCGCAAACACCTGTCTGCCGGAGCCAGTCACAAGGGCACCAAGTCAGGGTTCAAGGTGGAGAGAGGGCTGCCTGCCACCCGAGTCCACAACCACTAAACACACGCTCTCCAGACCCGCATACAAAGATGAGCAGGTTTCTGTGGAAATCAGTTGATATGGAAGCATCTGTCACTCTATCCCTGTGACTGAGCTTAGAGGATGCAGAATTTCTCTTGTATAGAAAAGTGGTATTTATAATATTTTTTTCCTTCTCTCACCCCTCACCTACCAATCTGTTCTCTGTATCTGTGAGCTTGGTTTGGTTGTTTGTTTTTGCATATCCTACCAAGAGATTTAGAAACTATAACCTATCGGGTTCCTTTACTACTGAAATGTGTCACCAAGTGAGCAATCTTATGAGCCTACACATTAGAACCAGGAGAAAAGGCAGCTTGTCAGTGGCCTCAGGTGAACAGCCTGACCGGAAGCAGAGCGGTGTGACCTGGACAGTGCCCTGCTCCATGTGGTCCCGTCGGCTCGGGTAGCACAGAGATGTCCCACCTTAAGCAGGTGATGCTGAGTTAAGAGTGTGGTGCTCTGCTCAGGCGCTCACCCCACCCCTTCTCCCTTTGCTTGTTCTGCACCAGATGTAGCTCGAGAGCCGAGACAGAAGTAACTGAGTTCGGTCATGAGCTGGGCTGTCTCATTTCTCTTCATCTTTATGGCCTGCAGAGGAGTTAACGGAACAGGACTTATTTTTCCTACTTTACCTACTAGATCAGATTTGGCCTTTGCCTTCTGATTACATCAGCTCTGTCCCATTTGCCCTTTGCACATCAGTGTGTTGGAGTGCACTAAAATATTTTGTTTCAGAATCGCCCATCCAAGTCAGGGTCTTTCACCTAAACTGAATATTGAAAACCTGTCTTTCCTTGGGCATCTTTATCTTCTCACTTTTTTTTTTTTCTTAATCCTCATCCAAGGACATTTCTCCACTTTTTATTCAGATAAAATGAGCGGGAGAAAGAGGACGAGAGAGAGAAACATCGACGTGAAAGGGACACATCGAGTGGCTGCCACCCGCACGACCAACCAGGGCCGGGGACAAACTGCAGCCGAGGTACGTGCCCTTAGCGGGAACTGAACCCAGGTCTCTCTGGTCCGCGGGCCGATGCTCTAACCGCTGAGCCAAACTGGCCAGGGCCCTTCACACTTATTATCCCATACTCTTCTCTTTGCAGGGCAGTGAACCCTAGTGATCTCTCTCTGTGTCTGGAACAGTTCTTCTTCCCGTGGTTTCAGGCTCTGATATGTGCATATAATCTGGCCTGGGTTTGGTCCTTCTCGTGACCTGAGCTCCTTCTAACTGAAATCCGAAATTAGAGAGGCTCGTGGTAACTCAGAATATTTTGCGTGAGTGCCAAGTCGTAACTGATTGATTTTGATTTCTACTTTCTTCTCGTTCTTTTTTTTAAGCATAAACTTCAGTACTCACCAACTCTTATGAGAATTGCCTTTAGGACACTCAGGTGAACTATTTAGGACTTGACCACAGATGTCTATGAAAATGCAAGCAGGGTGGCTTTGCTGTGATTCGCACACGTGTGCCATTGTCTGCGGTCTGATTGTCTCTGTTATGACAGAGGGATGATCAAAGTAAGCCAGGGTTATGCTCATTATTGTAACCTGAATATATTTTCCGTATGTAGAGCCCTCATTAACTTCAAAGACAAACACTGCTAGAGAAAGCTGGATGGACGAGAATGAGACATTGGCCAAAAATACAGAAATACCACTTTTGATTAGTAGAGAAATACTTAGGTGATTAGAGACTGCATTTGAAAAATCCTGGCTTATTTTTTATCCAGATGAAGACGTTTTACCCCACTACTACAGAAACATACTCTACACTCTGTAAGCACTTGAGAAGAAATCCATTTTGCATTTCACGTTGTTGGAATACCCTACAGCACTCCAGGAACGTGGCTGCCGGGTGCCGAGGCCAGGAGCCCATTAAATAACAACAGCAGGAGCATAACTGTAACTTCAGTGCTGCGAACACTCATCGACAGGAATGAGACGAGGATTTGAAAAACAACCACGTAAAGGCATGAGTTTTCTCATTTGTGTATATGGAATATATTTTTCAAATGTAAATTTTTCTACTTTAGATAAAGTATTGATGTTGCTGTTACCGAGGTTGAGCCCTACTTACTGTCTTATGCTAGTAACAAAATAGAAAAAAAAAAATCTGTCATTGCTTTAAGGTAGTCAGCTTGACTCAATTTAGATTTCATTATTACTCTTTTGCATACTGGAATTTTCTTATATGGATAGTTTTGTAATACCTTTTTTATCTGTGAATAAAACTGTTACCTGGTATTCTTACTTGCATGTCTAGTAAGAAAGTGGTAGGTGGAGTTGGGGCGCACCTGCTGTCCATGGGACGGTCTCCCCAAGTTCTGATCTTTCCAATAGAACCACTTCTGGCCCCTCAAAAAAAAGGGGGAGATTTGAAATCCTTACTAGTGACTGGCTATATATTTCTCAGACATGTCAAGCTACTGAAAATGCTTTGAGTTATTTGAGAATCTTTGGTATAATTTTATGATCGGTATGTTTCCTGCTTCATGTTATGACACAGGGAAGACCGAAGAGGCTCTGTGTTCATTCCTTGGAGGGCATGAGGTGCTCTGCTGCAGAGGCGTGGACCGAAGCAACAAGTCTCCACGAGCGACGGTCCCTGTGCCAGTGTCCCCTTCCCAGCTTCTCCCCTTTCTTCCCCTCAGGACTTATATTATTAGATTTTGAGAGGGGACTTTAAACCTCCTGGGGAAAATGGGTTATTTTAAAGCAACCTCATATTTTCTCGGCTGGTTAGTCTGTGTTGTTAAAGGACACGGTGTCCCGTGAAGAAGGGTGTCTTCCCCCCCGCCCCACGCTCCAGCCCCTCGGCTCCCGTAGACGGTGTCCCTGCAGGCAGGCTGGGCTTGTGGGTGCCACCAACTCTCTGAGAAAAGTAACTCAAAGCTTATGAGGTTCTAACAAGAGGTCTGAAGTATTCTATAACCACGTAAATGACATATTTTTGTTCTTACTGCTATTATCAAGGTCTCTTTGCTATTTGCTGCTTGTTATCCTGAATTTGTTTATTTGTCCCATTTTAATTCAAGAAGACACTGTCTGATTTTTAAAAACGTATTTGGCACCCAATAAGGTATATAAATGCAGCTTAAATGTATCATCTGGTCATCTTCAATACGCAAGAAATTTCAGTAAGACCTGGCATGTGATTTTGGAGATACAGTGACACTGACTCAGGTCAGCGGTCGAGATGGCATCACTTATGCCACGTCGCAGCCGGAGGACGGGCGCCGGGGTCCTGCAGAGCGTGAGCAGGCAGGGTCAGGTCCTCCCAGGGACACCAGGGGCATTGGGATTAGTGTGATTTATGGCTGCCTTCAAAGGAGCCTCTCCAAAAGACTTGAATTTCAGAAACGTAACCAGCAAAACCCCTTTTCCTGGAACCATGGGTGGTCTTCTGAAACAGGTTTCAATTAGTGTATAAAAACAGAGGACTCTACCTTAATTTCGAATGGGATTAGGGGCCCTATCCCAGACAGAAATGGCTGTGCTCCATGTTTGTTCGGGAGAGTGTAGCCAGCAGAACACAGGGATTCCCTCACCTCGCGGACTGCACAGGCGACAGGCCTGCAGAGCCCCGCTGCCCAGCCTGTGGCGGCGACGCGGAGGCCACAGCACACACCTCACTCTGGAGCAGGTCTGAGCTGTTTCCCTTGATGTTCTCAGTGCAAGTCTCGTCCTCCTCCGAGGACTGGAAGAAGAGGCCGTTCCTTCGTCCTTCCTTACCCCACCGGCCATGTACCCCGGCGGGGGCGGCTGCAGGTGCGATCCAGTGTGAAGCAGACACTAAGAAGTAGGAGAGGAGCAAACCGTGCAAGGATCTGTGAAATGGGTCTTGATTGTGAGGACAACTGCAGCTTCTGGGCCGGGCAGCAGGGCCGCCCTGGGAGTCGGGAAGCGCACAGAGCTGCCCTGCAGGGCTGCGTGGAGCTCACCGCAGGGGCGAGGGGGCTGGCAGGCGCGTGCCGAGGCCCAGCTTGGTCTGAGTGCGAACACAGGAGTGTGAGCAGCAGGGGTGAAGTCGCTGGGGCCTGAGGTCCGGCTTCACGTGTCTGGTGGGCTGTACCCCAGGCTTTGAACTTACCTGAAGGGCACTTATTTGCCTTTAAACAAATGGGTGACACAGAATAAACGTGTAAAATCTCTGAGAGCCGAATAGCCCCAGTAATGGAGGGAACATGGCCACCTGCACGGGGGAGGTCAACACCCAGTCCCTGGTCTAAAAATAGTGAGCCCGAGGCTGTTCTCTGTCCTCAAGGTCCCCTCGGTCCCATCCTGATCTCAAGGTGGGGCCCAGTGAGTGCTGAGCGTGACACATGTTTAGGACTTGGCTGTACCCCCTGCTCACATCAAATCGACATTGTGTGCGCGTCCCTGAGAAGGCACCTGAGGGATGACCATCTCCCCCGCCTCGGGAGCCTGGACAGCATTACACATGGACCATGGCCTTTCTCTCCGGAGCCCATGGCTCAGACTGATGGTCTCGCCGGACCGGGAGCTCCACACACCTCTGCCCTGCACAGGAGTGAGCCCTCAGGGTGGAATGTCCTCTCATGTCCAAACCTTGTCCAGTCGCCCGATCATTTTTCTCAGCCCCTTATCCTCATCCTCCAAATGCCGTCTGTCCGGGGCTGAGCAGCCTCCCCTCAGGCAGCTGTGGGGCAGGAAGGCCCGCCTGGGGGTCTGGGCCGGGCAGCCCCCTGCGCTGGGTCCTCCGTGTCTTTGCCTGTGTCCTGCTCACGGGTGTCCCACGTCCGTGGCCGCCCTCCACTGCCCGCAGTATTCGAGAGCTGCTGGCCAGCTCGGAGGTCTTTGGGGATATTTTAACCACACGTAAGGGTCCTGAAGGGTGAATAAACAGGCCAGCTGGAGGACGAGCTCAAGGATAAAGTGGGGGGAGGCATCACCCCGAGAAGCCCAGGGTTCTCTCCAGAATCCTGTCCTCACACTTGAGGAGCCCAAACTAATAATCAGCAGCTGCTGCAATCGTGTGACTAGAAGGCTGCCTCCTTCGATAGAATGAACACGGTAAGGTCCTGAAACCTAGACCTAGCTTTGGATCGTGGGATAAAGTAGGACTTACAGTGGTTTCAAATGCAAGGTTTAGGAAGTACAG